ATCAAGTCCCATTAATTTCTTCTGATTTATCTTCTGTTGTCCCTTCTTTTCATAGATCCGATTTCTCTTGTGATTTTAAATAAATCTCCAAATTAATTGCACCTGTGAATAGCCGCAGATCATCTCTGCTACACCCTTTGGCATACAGGGGCAAAAGAGCAACTTGATTTTCATGTTCCATGCCTCTTGAAAGTACCACATAGCTCACCCCTAGCTCACAGCTCGTTTTTTAGAGCATATGTATTCAAAGTACAGTGGTGCCTTGCTAGACGATTGCCTCGTTGGACGAAAAACCCGCAAGACGATTGGGTTTGCGATCACTATGGTGCCTCGCAAGACTTTTTTTTAGACCAATGCTTCGCAAGACTTTTTTTTTGAGACTGATACTTCACAAGACTTTTTTTTGTGACCGATGCATAGGGAACCTCGCAAGACGATTTTTTCACAAGACGACAATTTTCGCGGAACAACTTAAAATCGTCTTGCGAGGCACCACTGTATTACTATAATGGTCTGTTTCCTTTAGCAACAGGTATATAATTGATTAAGCTTTTCAGACAGACCCAGCTGGCTGTATTAAATCCCCTTCCCATCATGGAAGGATTAAAAAAAAACCCAATATTCAACTGCTCTGTGGGCAATATTAACCGCAGAACCAACCCGTGAAAGCTGCTGGTGTATAATGTGTCTCGGTAACGACTGACTGCATATCTTTCTTTCTCTCATGTTGGCTTCCTGCAGATGCCCCCAAACCAGTGGAACTGAGGGCTTCTCCCGGAACCACTCTCCGAGAAGGGGAGACACTTTCTCTTGAGTGTCTGGTCAGAACCAGCCAACGTGCTGTCCTTGAGTACCAATGGTGGAAGGATAATCACTTGACAAATGGAAGAATAAACGAGAGCAGAATGGCATTTGATCCTGTAGGACGGCAACATTCCGGTCATTATAAATGTGGAGCAAGAACTACACTTGGAACTACTGAGTCTAATGAACTGCCCATAGATGTCCAGTGTGAGTTGATTCATCGGGCCCATGAAAGATGATTCTGCAGCTGTACACGTTGTTTGTTCGGTTTTAAGATTTCAGACTCTTATAGTTTTCCATTTTAGATAATATTTGAATGCAGATGGAAAGAGCACCTTTCACTGTATTGATTCCTTATGTGACTACTGTGAATAAAGGGTAGAAAGCAGAATCTAGTCAGAGGAGAAGGAGACACTGTGATGGTGGTTAGAGCTCAAAGCACATTAGTGTTGGAGAGACATGATTGAGGCAGACATTCAGGTTTATCAGAAGGAATTTCAAAGGCTTCACCTGATTAATTCCTAAACTAGAATCACAAAACCAGTCACGTTATTTTGCAATTTATAGCATCAAACACTATAATAATTATGCAAGAATAGGATGCCTTTATAGGACAATAATAAATTTAAAAAAATCATACAATATGCATGCTTTCACGAGTGCATCCCAGTTCTTCAAAGCAAGTGCCAAAAGTCCAAACATTTGTGGCAGGTTGAGTCATGGCAGCCAGACTTCTTAGGTTGAAACATTTCACTACTCATCCAAGGTGCTTCTTCAGTCATGAGTAGCGAAAGATTTCAACCTAATAAGAA